CCTCTACTGCTAACAATTTCTGGGAAATGGCATGGAAGGCTGTAGAATACACAGTTTTGGGTTACACCCATACCATGATGAACTGGTCTCAGCTGTCCTAACTAGGACAAGCACACATCATAGGACAGGATGCACCACTTCTGGGTAGTGAGGGCAGGTCCAGCAGCAGGAGAGAAAGCTGGGAGAGAGACTGTAACCCCAAAATCTCTCCCCCCACAGACCACCAGACTCATTTGAGCAGAGAGGGACACATCGCATCAGGGCCATGTTTGCTGGGATATGTTTCCATGGATGGCAGCTGCAGCAAGAGGGAGGCTCCTGCCATGCCTGGGGGAGCAGGTGGGTCACAGTAACTTCTGCTGCCACCAGGTCACCAGCTGTCAGTTCCTTCTTTGACAACCAAAGGGGCTTGGAGTCAGTGCAACAGCAATTCCTAGAGTTGGGCATGGAGAAATGTTCCTGGATCCCTCCTGCACACCCCAACTTTGTAGGAGGCGTGTCCAGGAGTGCAGGGGACGCACCAAGGGCAGGGAAGCCCAGGGGACATGCACCGAAACAGACAACCCCATTGGTCACAAGGTCACATGGTTTTAAGGGATAAAAAGGGCACTGAGTTTGAATTAAAGCCTCTTCGATTACCATCTGATCAGGGAGCAGATTCCATTTCTTTATCATATAAAGACTCCACGTTACACAACTTTAAGCACACCGCCCCACAGCCCACACCCCTCTCATCACTCTCTACCCACTGTCTTCCCTCTCCACTATTTCTCACCAGGCTGGGAAGTTCAGCATCATTCCTACTGCCGTGAGCTTCGGCACAAGCATTGCCTTCTTTGGTGCTGTGAGTACTCCAGACACGCTCTTTTCCTTCAATCCATGGCTTGGGATTTGCCACTCATCAGTTGTTTCCCTGCCTGCCTGGGCACAAGGCTTCCTGGGTGCCAGTCAGCGTGAACAGGAGATGGTCTGGCAGGGTGTCAGCTCCCGTTTCCCTGTGACCATTAGCAGTAATGACAGCACTGGGATCCTGAGCACTGTCAGGGTCATGTCTCGTGGAGGCCAGGTGTTTGTGTGGGCCCTGGGAAGGAACATCACTGGGATGCTGCTGGCAGGGGAGAGCAGCTCCTCTCTCTGCTTCTCTCCTGACTCTAAAGTGACCTGGTGTCCTGTCACCAGATGGGGCAGCTCCTCATAGAGCCCTTACATGGCTTGTCCTTTCCAGCAGGTAACTGGAAGGGAGCCTGAGGTCCCCCACCTACCCCCTCTTTCGTCCCTAACATGCTCATCCCAGTCCATACACAGCTGTGAGGGCACTGGAAGAGCACTCCCTGTGTCCATCCATTGCAGCCCAGGTGATCCTGTCTGACCTCCTGTGCAGCTCATGGGAGCCTGCTGGGTCAGAGAGGAGCCATTGGAGTTGGCAGGTGACCTGGCCGGAGGCAGGGCCGGCTCGCTGCCCTCAGCACTGGCCCACAGCCAGCTGCGGGACTCAGTGGGAGCCAGGGTGGAGGGCTAGACATTCCAGCGGGAAGTTTCCCTGCGTACAGTCTTCAACATCTGTCTGTCTCCAGGCTACAGTGGTCTGTGACCTAGTTCTGCTCTACCTGGATGCAAAGGCTGACCTGTATTGGAAGGAGAAGTTTGAGGAGGTAAGGGTGGGACCACATGGGAGAGAGAAGGTTGGAGTGAAGGGTTTTGGAGTGAATAATTTTATGATTTTCTGCCCCTTGGTTAAAACTCAGTTCACAAGATCTGGGAAGATCCTGGTGGAGCAGCTCTTAGTCTCCAGCTTTTGGGCTTGATGGCTGGTCTGAACTGGGAGAGGGATGCAGCTGGTACCAGGACTCAGGGAAAGCTGCATCACAACCTCAGTTCCTGTTGGACAAGGGGTCCCCATGGGGACCTTACCTGGAAATGTGACCCAGCTCCACACTTATTCTTCTTCCAAAGGGAATCTGTCTGGACTCCCTGCAGAGAGAGGGCAGCTCTTCAAAGCACATCCTGTGCTGCAGTTCAGTGACAGATTTTCATGCCTCACATGATTCCTGCTGTGGGAATTCACTTCCTTGGTGAATCAGTGAGTCACAGGGAGGCCCCCACAGAGCAGGAGAGCTGCCAGCCCTGCCTCAGTTCATCTCCAGCTTTGTCTGGCCAAGTCTTTGGAGCTTCTGAGGACTGAGATCCACCAGCTCCTGGTGAACTGCCCCAGGGCTGCACCATCCTGCTGGTGGAGAATGTTCCTCATGCCAGATCTCAAATCAGGAGCAGAGTGGGAGTCTTAGAGAGTGAATCTGTTCTTATGCGACCAAGGAGAGCAGTGCAGGTCCACCTGGGCCATCCCCGTGCCTGTTGTACTGTTACCCCTGTTCATTTTTCAGGCAAAACCCCCTAAAGGTAAGCCCAAGGCCTCAGCTTATGGACATCGGGAATGCTCCACCACAAGCACCCTTCCCTCCGGAGCCACCTCCAGGTAGACATGATGGGGGCATGGCTGTGGCCCAGGTGGAGGTGGGCCAGTCCTGGCCCAGGTGTGCACTGCTGGGGTTAAGGTCTGCCTTTCCTGGAGAAACATTGGCAGCGGCAGCAGCAGCAGTTCTTGGCTCTTGGAACACAAAGCCATCCCAGCTGCCACTCCCAGCACTGATAACTGGTGCCAGAGCAGAGCTGTGCTGGGCAAAAGAGGCTTAAAGCACTTTATGTTTCTCCACATTCTGATGGCTGTGGGCTTTGATTTCCCATGAAAACCAGAGATGCAATGGAATAAAGCTGTTCCAAAAGTGGGAGGTGGCTCTGCTCTGTCTCAAGCCCTGCGAGTGCCTGTCAAGTTTTGGGATGCTGCTCTCGCACCTCGCAGCACCCTGCATGCTTCCAGCTGGGATGGCTTCATGTGAGCTGCCCAGATCCTCAGGAGATCCCTGGGAAGCTCAGAGAGGATTTAAGAGCCCAGTTTAAGGCTCCAGCCCTGAGCTGGTACTTCCTGGGGGGTGCAGTGGCTTCTGCACCCCCAGTTCCTCCCTCCTGCCAGGGCTGATGCTCAGCAAAGACAGGCACAGCCCTGGGGCAAGCCGGAGTGTTTCAGAGGGGCTGATCCCTCATTCCCACCTGCCTCGGGCTGTATCAGCCTGGTGCAGGGCAGGGTTTGTCCGGGTCTGTGCCCAGGGACTGCTCTCTGAACTCCACAAGGCTCAAAAACACAGTATCTGTGGGTTCAAGCACCATTTAATGCTCCCTACCGGAACTGACTGCATGGTTTGGAGGGGTCCTGCAGCATCACCCCACCTCAGCTGCCTGCCCCCCTGTGCCCCCTGGCCGGCCCCTCCTGCCCTCCTGGAAATGCTGCAGGTAGAACTGTGCCGCCAGCTGCTTGGTCATGGTCTTCAGCGCCAGGAAGGCAGCCACAATCTCGGCGAGGAGGAAGGCCAGGAACAGGCTGTGCATGGGCATCTCCAGTGGCAAGTGAATGACCTGGCTGTCTGTCAGCAGGAAGAGCAGGAGGGGCAGCTGGATCAGGAAGGAGAGTAGCAGGAACCCAGCCAGCTCAGGCACCTGCAGGAGCAGAACCTGCTGAGATGGGATAAGGAGGCAGCGGTGGGGTGGGGGGGACCCTCTGTGACCCAGGAGCTCCCTGCATCACTGCCAGCCTTGGCACCCAGGTATCGGGGACGTCCTTGCCACACAGAGCTGTGGTCGGATGTGGTGAGATGCTGTCAAACCCAGTGCTGGAGGGTTGCACCCACAGGAAGGATACAGCAGGAGGGTGAGTGGATCTCCTTTGTCTCCTGCCTTCAGGTCCTGCCTGCACCCATCATTCCCTCCTGGGACAACTCCAGGCAGAACTCCAGGAGGAAGGGGCAGTGATGGCCACTTGGATTCCAAGTGAGGGGCGCTCACGCTCCCCCAGCTGGGCTGACCCTCACTGAGTATAAGGGGTTTGTGTGCCAGGGCAGGTGATGCTTACCTTCTCCTGGAGATTGCCCAGGTAGCCCAGGTAGAGTCGGGAGCCCTCAGCCAGCGAGAGAATGAGGAAGGCTGTGACCAGAAGGAACTGGTAGTGCCAAGGCAGGAGGTGGTACTGTAAATGGGGGCACAGCCTTGTCCCAGTCAGCTCCAGCCCCTGCACCCCAGTCCAGCTGTCCATGCCCAGTTTCCCATTCCCTGTGCACCATTCCCTGCGCTCAATTCCCAGATACCTGTGCCCTTCTCTCATCCCATTTGCCCTGTCCCCTGCACCCCATGCCCAGTGCCTGGGCCCTCCTCCCCATACCCAGTGCTCCATTCTCTGCCAGCTTCCACCAGGCTGGTGCTCAGCTCTGCCCACTTTTCTCTCCCAGTTTAACCTTTCCTGCCTGGAAAGTTCATGATTTCCATTTCTGGCAGCCAGAGATGAGCCATCTCGTCTCATGGGGGTCAGGGCATTTTGGAGACCCATTAATTCTGAAGAGGCTCCCCTGTCCCCTGTTCACTGTTTCTCCCCTACGACAAGGGAGGCTGGGCAGGAGCAACTCCCCCCTCCCCCTGTGCCCCATGGGACAGTACCTTCAGCTGCAGCATCATTCCCTCAGCCAGGCACCAGACGGGGAAGTAGTAGACGTTGAAGTAGAGCATCACCTGGAGGGGCAGGCTGGCCAGCACCTCGTGGGCTAGGCAGGATGGGCAGGGGTGGGCAGGCTGCTCAGCAACTCTGGTGTCCCCCTATTCAGAGGGACCCCCACTTGCTGCTCGTGGAGTGGAGCAATAGCCCTTGGGTACCACAAACAGCTCTTTGCAGCAAATGTTCTTATTTTTGCTCCCCTCCTTGGTGGGGGAGGTACAGAGACCCTTTGGGTGCTCCTGGCTCTGAGGCACCCCTGTGCTTTGGTGATGTGCTGAGCACGCTCGTGGTGATAACCCCCTCCCCAAATCCCCCTCCGCAGAGCCCCACTGCCCATACCTGGCTGGTAGATGTGGGCAGTGCCGCTATCCTGTGTCTTATTGGTGATGAAGAGGGAGCCGCTGAACGCCACCAAGCCCCGGCGCAGGTTGGGGGGCAGCGGGGTGTGCGCAGCCATGGCTGACAGCTGAGCCCTGCTCGCCCCAGCCCAGCTCAGCCAGGATTAGCCAGGAGGGAATCAGTGGGATGACAGGTCAGGCTAATGCGCGGGGCCACCTGGCCATTGGCTCGCTGGGAACAGGGCTACTGAGCTGGGAGGGGGATGTGGGGAAGAACTGCCACCTTGGAACATCAAGCCTACATGGCAATCACAGGGTGGAGTTGCAAAGGAGTCACAAGTCAAAAGCATCTCCCCTCCACAGTACCTTTAGGGGGTGAGCAGCAGGTTGTAACCATTACCATGACAGGGACACAGTGGTAAACTAAGCAACTGCACCCTCTCCCAGCCAGGCTATTATCAGCGTAATTACTGCTCAAAGCCCCCTGACAGAGGAGGATGCCACACAAAAGAATGATGGTCTTCATCTGTAATGCTTCTTCGAGGCCTCCAGGCTCATGGAGCATTTACCCATGCCCGTGATCTCCCCTGCTAACAGGCTGCCCTTGTAGACCTCCACGCTGCTCAGTGTCCCAAGACTCCATCCAGGTTCAGGCAGTGGGGGATGGTGTGTGAGGGGCTGGTTGAGCCAGAGGTGAATGGCAGGGAAAGGAGATGGCACTGCAGGGACTTCAAATTTAAAATAACAGACTCATTAAGGTCGGAAAAGTCCTCTAAGACCAATAAGTGCAACCAATTAACCCTGCACTGCCAGGTATCCCACTAAACCATGTCCCCAAGTCCAACATCTACACATTTTTTTAACACTTCCAGGGATGGAGGCTCCACCACTGCCCTGGGCAGCCTGTGAAAGGGCTGGACAACCCTTTCCATAAAGAAATTTTCCCTAATATCCAACCTAAACATCCCCTGGTGCAACCTGAGGCCATTTCCTCTCACCTGGCCAGTTGTTATTGGGGAGCAGAGCCTGACCACCATCTGGCTCCACTCTCCTTTCATAGAGCTGGAGACAGCAAGATCACCTGTGAGCCTCCTTTTCTCTAGGCTGAGCACCCCCAGCTCTCTCAGCCACTCCTCATCAGACTTGTGCTCCAGAGCCTTCCACAGCTCGGTTGCCCTTCTCTGGACACGCTCTGTTAGTCCTACCCAACAGATGTGGTCTCATTTCATGATCTTCAGCCTCCAACCCACCCCATAAGGCACATCAGAGAAGCTGCCTCAAATAGTGGGAGTGAATGCTGCAACTGTGGTCTTTGAGGGCCAGGCACTGGCAAGGGACACAAGAAACCAAAGAAAGAGAGGATTCTTCTGCTTGATAAAGCCAAAATGAAATTGCAGAGTTCCCTGCCATATGCTGCCAAAAACAAACCATCCAGGGCTGAAAGTGTAGTAGACCAATGCCTGACTGATTGAAGTCATCGGATCATAGAATCACAGACTTGTTTGGGTTGGAAGGGACCTTTAAGACCATCTTGTTCCATCCCCTGGCGTGGGCAGGGACACCTTCCACTAGACCAGGTTGCTCCAAGCCCCATCCAACCCAGCCTTGGACACTTCCAGGGATGGGGCAGCCACAGCTTCTCTGGGTAACCTGGGCCAGGGCTTCACCACCCTCACAGGGAAGAATTTCTTCCCAATATCCTATCTAACCCTGGCCTCTGGCAGTGGGAAGCCATTCCCCCTTATCCTGTCACTCCAGGCTGTTGTTCATAGTCCCTCTCCAGCTTTCTTGGAGCCCCTTTAGGCACTGGAAGGGGCTCTCAGCTCTCCCTGGAGCCTTCTCTTCTCCAGGCTGAATACCCCCAGCTCTCCCAGCCTGGCTCCAGAGCAGAGGGGCTCCAGCCCTCAGAGCATCTCTATGGCCTCCTCTAGACTTGCTCCAGCAGATCCATGTCCGTCCTCTGCTGAGGACCCCAGAGCTGGATGCAATACTCCAGGTGGGCTCTCACCTGAGTGGAGTAGAGGCAAAGCCCCAGGCGTGCTGTGCCCAACATATGTCTACCCAGGGGTCCTGCCAGCACACAGGGCAAGACATGGGTAGGGCAACAGGCACAGCCCAGTATCTAAGGAGCAGGAGCTGCTGGAGAGCTCACATCTGCACAGGCAAGCAGGGTGAGCAACCAAGAAGATACCTCGGCAGTCTGGTGAAAGTAACTGTGATGGGGCAATGCAGCTGGGGGTCACTAACAAGCTGCCTGTGCCCCAGCTGGATTCTCATTCCTCATGGGAACGGGCAGTTTTGTAAGAAGAGATGGAAACTTCCTGTCTTGGTATGAGAAATTGCAAGATGTGCCTGGAGAGGTGGCAGAGAAGACAACCCAGCCTTGCCCAGCTCCAGGACAGGCTCACCACCGAGAAGCATTTGCCAAGGCACTGGACAAGGGCTCCCAGGTTCAACACCATCCCACACCACTGCAGAGTGGAAATGTCCATCTTTTGTGGATCCAGCAGACACACAATGGTCCCTGTTCATTGCTGTGTGCTGGAGCCTGCACATCCTGCCTACCTCCCCCCTGGTCATTCCGCCTGGGAAAAGCTTTGCAGTGAAACCAGAGAGACAAATCAGAGATGTGACAGACACTGGTGACATTTCTATCCAGCCAAGATCTGAAAGACTGGAAATAAATAACAGGTAAGATGGACACAGGTGGGAAGCCTCCAGGGAAGAGGTACTTGAATCCCCTGGTGAACCTGCAGAGTTGACCCAAGGTCTTGGAAGGAATCAGAAATTACCCAGATCCCAAGAATAGTATTGCTTTAATTCATAGGGGGCTAATCAAATTAAAAATATAAATCCTCTTGTTTTGGACTCAGGGTAAAACACTGACTTCTGGGGAAGGAGTCGCCCCAGGACAAAGCACTGGAAGCTCTCTGAGGAGATCCTCACCCTCCCACTCTGTTGGGTTTACAGACACAGAGCTGTGGCTGGCCAGGTCCACTCCCGAGCTGGAGACACAGCTCTTCTTCAGCAAGGGCAAGAAACAGGACAGCAGAGCACTTGCATGGTGGGCTGAGAAATGCAGCCTTGTCACTAGACGACAGGACAGACAAGTGACAGACGATGGACGGCTCCTCTGGCTACTTTTCCTCAAGTAATGCCTCAGCAGCAGCAGCACCAATCCCATGATGTCATCAAGGAGAGACATCCCAAGGCTGGCTGGAAGGGTGGCCACCAAGTCCAAGGCTGCAGCTGAGCTGCTTTCCCAGCTCTCCAGGGACTCCTGCTCCACACCCTGGGGATGGACCAAGAGCTGCAGGTGCTGGGATGGGACCAATGAGCTCCAGAGCCCTCAGCATGGGCAGGGACCCACCTCTGCTGGGGGAGACTGGGCAGGACCAGCCTGGACCACACAATCACAGGCTGAACAGAGACCACCCGGTGTGACCCCACCTCCTGGCCCACCCAGATGCCCCCTAGAGTGGGTGAGCACAGGCAGAGCCGTGGCAAACCCTGCAGCCAAGCAAGGAGGGAGCAGATGTCAGGCTCTGTGGGGATGCACATCAGAACTGGGAGCGAAGAGAATTTGGGAAGGAGCATCATGCATGAAAGCACAGGAGCACCCAAAGGCACTCATGCTGCTTACAGAGGTGAGGGACATGCATGGGGCAGATCTGCCTGGAGACCCTCAGCCCAATGGCAGCATCTGGAGCCACGTGGCACCAATGCCCATTGCCACAGCCAAACCCCACAGTCTCTGAGGGCTGCTTTTCCAGTCCCACGGGAATTGCAATAACAGAGCCCTAGCCCAGCAAGCACCGGGGCAGAGGTGCCATGGGAGGTCCTCCTGGGAAGGTCAGTGCACAGTGTCAGGCATGAGTTCATCCAGGTCTCAAAGGGAAATGGCTGAGTCATGGGTTTCCCACTGGGTGGTGGAGCTGCTGTCCTGTCTCCCCACAGCAAGTGCAGCATCAGGACGGCACAGCCACCAGCAGTATTAGGAGCCTTTCCCTGTTAGCCAGGACATGTCTCCGGTTCTAAAAGAGGGAAAAACCAGATGGGGTGTTACTCAGCATGCGCAGCTCTCGATGCTGTCTTGGTGCTAGTCCAGACATTGGTCATTGGTGTCCATCCCCCCACCCTGCTGCGCTGTGCCCTTCCTCTGCCCTCATTCACATGTCATTAAACTGTCCAAAAAGCCCGTGCAGATCCTCAATTCCATGTAAAACAGAGCTAAAACTTTTTTTTTTTTTTTACTTAAACCCAGCCCTCCTGGCATTCAGCTGAAAATTCATGGAAAGCCACCAAACCCCCAGCAAAGCATGGTCCCAACCAACAGGCAGCTGCCCAGTCCCAGCAGATCTATGCCTGATGTGGCTCCTGGCACCTCCAGCCCTACCACCCAGCACAGCAGCATCGCCCCCCTGTGAGGGGGATGCAAAACATGGATGCCCACAATGTAATCAGTGTCCCACATGGGAATTAGGGATATGGCCCAATCAGGTGGCTGGCTGGCCCTGCCAGCCCCCCACACCCAGCACACCCAGGACCCCAAATCGAACGTACTTGCCATGACGGACAAACAGCCTAAAGTTGTGAAAGCAGTAGGAGACAGAGAGAGAAAAGACATTCAGGTTTAGGTGGTCTGGTTTCCTCCAGGCCCCCAAGCCTGCTTCCACCCGCCACTGGGATGCCCATGAGATACCACCTCCTTCCCAGCCAGCAACCATTTCCCGACGTACTGGGGATTACAGCACAAGAAATCCTTCCCTGTGAGGGTGGTGAGGCCTTGGCACAGGTTACCCAGAGAAGCTGTGGCTACCCCATCCCTGCAAGTGTTCAAGGCCAGGCTGGACAGGGCTTGGAGTAACCTGGTCTAGTGAAAGGTGTCCCTGCCCAAGGCAGGGGGTGGGATGGGATGGCCTTTAAGGTTCTTTCCAATCCAAACCATCCTGTGATTTTCTGAACCTTATCTCCACTAGATGGACATGTGACATTCTCCCCATCCCAGAGGTGCCCAGGGAGTCTGAGCTGGTTCAGACCTGCCTGGGGGCCGGGAGTGCTCCTCTCCCTGAGCTTTTGAAAAGATCTGCTTTTATTCCACATATGGAAACATACTTGAAACAGGAATCCACATTCCCTCAGCAGCTTTGGTTCCTACTCTAAAGTCTTCTTCCCAGCTGTTACCATCTCCCTGGCATTTGCCTTCCAGCACCCACCCTCAGCACAACGGGCTATACTCTTTCCTCTGCAAGGTCTTAAAAATAAAGTGAATGAGAAAAATGCCCCCTGCCTATGAGCTCCACTCCAAGGAACTGGAGGCCGAGACACCACAGGCCAGCATCCTGGTACCACCAGCTCTCTGGGCTGGGTTGTGCATAGAGGGTTGCGCACAGGCTTCACACTCAGCCCCTCTCTGTAGATGCCCTTGACTGACTGGGTGCCCAGGGGCACCCCATTATCAGGCAGTGCTTCCTTGGTGATATGCCAGTGCCCAAAGGCAGTGAGTATCCCCCTCCCATGCAATCCCTGCAAGGATTTGGGTCCTGGTGTTTAAGACAAACCCCACATGTGCAGGATGCCAGAGGAAGCTGGAGGAAGATGGGAGGCAGCACTGAGGGGGACGGAGTAAGCAGAACAGGAAGGGAGATGCAAGGATATACAAAGGGAGCAGCAGGAAAGAGCTGCCTTTGGGTGCTCGGCCCTGCCCTGCACCCCTGGCTGTGATTTGCTGCTGCCCTGGCACTGCCAGTTTCCGCTACGTGTCTACTTACTCCACATCGCGCTTCCGGATGGTCCTGCCAGCAGCCAGGACCTCAGCCACCTTGGAGACGATCGGGTCGTAGTTCATGCTGGCCACTGCCACCACC